AAGTGAGAGACTTTATTTTGGGGGGCTCCAAAATCACTGCAGATGGTGCCTGCAGCCATGAAATTAAAAGACTCTTGCTCCTTGGAAGAGAAGTTATGACCAACCTCTGTTCAGTTCATTTCAGTTCAGCCACTCAGTCGTGTCCAACTCTTTGCGACCCCATGAATCACAGCATGCCAGGCCTCCCTGTCCATCACCAAGTCCCAGAGTTTACTCAAACTCATGTCCATCGAGTTGGTGATGTCATCCAACCATCTCATCCTCTGTCGTCCCTTCCACCTCCTGCCCCCAATCCCTCCCAGCATCAGGATCTTTTCCAATGAGTCCACTCTTCGCATGAGGTGACCAAAGTATTGAAGTTTTGTGTATCGTCACCCTGCTTATTTAACTTATATGCAGAGTACATCATGAGAAACGCTGGGCTAGAAGAAGCAAAAGCCAGAATCAAGATTGCCAGAAGAAATATCAATAACCTCAGATATGCAGACGACATCACCCTTATGGCAGAAAGTGAAGAGAAACTAAAAAGCCTCTTGATGAAAGTGAAAGAGGAGAGTGAAAAACTTGGCTTAAAGCTCAATATTCAGAAAACTAAGATCATGGCATCTGGTCCCATCACTTCATGGGAAATAGATGGGGAAATAGTGGAAACAGTGTCAGACTTTATTTTTTGGGGCTCCAAAATCACTGCAGATGGTGATTGCAGCCGTAAAATTAAAAAACGCTTACTCTTTAGTAGGAAAGTTATGACCAACCTAGATATCATATTAAAAAGCAGAGACATTACTTTGCCAACAAAGGTCCGTATGGTCAAAGCTGTGGTGTTTTCCAGTAGTCATGTATTGATGTGAGAGTTGGACTGTAAAGAAAGCTGAGTATTGAAGAATTGATGCTTTTGAGTTGTGGTGTTGGAGAGGACTCTTGAGAGTCCCTTGGACTGCAAGGAGATCAAACCAGTCCATCCTAAAGGAGATCAGTCCTGAGTGTTCATTGGAAGGACTGATGCTGAAGCTGAAACTCCAATACTTTGCCCACCTGATGTGAAGAACTGATTCATTTGAAAAGACCCTGATGCTGGGAGAGATTTAAGGCAAGAGGAAAAGGGGACAACAGAGGATGAGATGGTTGAATGGCATCACCAACTCGATGGACATGAGTTTGAGTAAACTCCGGGAGTTGGTGATGGACAGGGAGTCCTGGCGTGCTTCAGTCCATGGGGTGGCAAAGAATCAGATGTGACTGAGCGACTGAACTGAACTGAAAAATAGTTAAATGCTTAGAATTTAAAGAACTGATGAATAAATGACATATATTGAAAAGAAGTGAACCAATAATTAGTGGGTGTCATTGAAATTATTTTAGGCATTTCTAACCTTGTGTAATATGAAAGAAAACATTAAGTGAATGCTTGGTATGGAATTACTATACAACAAATGCTAAATATAATTTCTGAATATTTGTTAATATTTTGTTATCATGAGTCTATGTTATGGGGTTTGGATTATAGTAATACAAACAGGTTGTATGAGTACTGCTTGGTTTGGGTTTTGTTGTCTTGTTCAGTTATAGATGAGGCCCAGTATGTACTAAAAAAGAATGTAGAAGTTAATTGGGAAGAAATTACTGTTGTAGAACACAGACCATTTGCATAGAGAAAATGTTCTCCTGTTGAATGCTTATTCTTTTTCCCTGATTCCACCTGAAAATAACTAATTATCCAATTATTTCTATTTTCCAAACACGTCAAAACTAAATTCACAGGTGAACCTTGTTTGCTGTCTCCTTAATCAGATATTGTGTTGACAATTAAGGTGGTCTTAAATACCTTTTAATTGCTCTTCATAGACAGCTTGTCTGTGCGTCTGTGTTGGACTAGAACATAGTACTGTGAAAAAAATAGCAAATTATCACTAGAAGTAGAGAAGAATAGGAGATGGTACTTAAGACTACAATTCAGTTCAACCAGTATTTGGGAGCCAGGTCCTGGTTAGGCATTATAGATTCAAACTATGGATCAGGATACCCAGGATACACTCTCAGAGAGTTTTTCAAATAACTTTGTTGCAAACCAAAGTACTATTAGTAGAGAAACATAATAATGAAACAGAGAAAAGACCTTTTGGAAGAAGCTGATTTATTTAGGGCCTTGACCAATGGGAATACCTTTGACATTGAAATATTCTTCACTGATGGGGAGTTATGGGGGCATGATTTTGTTTAAGCTTGCTCTTCTTTCTATAGTTCCCAGTAGTCTACAAGTGTGACCTTCCTGATTTTGATAAATGTACTAAGGTTATTATATTAGATGTTAACATTGGAGAAATTAAATGAAGGGTATATGTACATTTTGCACTGTTGGTTTTTTTAATGAGATAAAATTCATATCACATTATTAAAGTTAACCATTATTGTGTACAGTTTAGTGATATTTAGAACATTTACAGTGTTGTGCAACCATCACCTGGTTTCAGTGGCTTTTCATCCAAAAGAAAACCCTGTATCCCTTGAGCACTCATGCTCCCTTTGCCCTGTACTTCCACACTTGGTAACCACTAATCTGCTTTCTGTCTCTAGAATTTTCCTATTATGGGTATTTCATATAAACAAAATCATACAAGGTGTGGCCTTTTGACTTTGGTTTCTATCACATAGCATGTTTTAAAAGTCCACCTATATTGTACCATTTATCAGTACTCTGGTGGTTTTTCTGACTAAATATTATTTTCATTGTATGGCTATGACATCTTGTTTATCCATTCATCCATTGGTGGATATTTGGTGCTGCTGAGATCATTCATGTATCAGTATTGGTTTGAATACCTGTTTTTCAATTCCTATGGGTATATACCTAGGTATAGAAATGCAGGGTCAAATGGCAATTCAGTATCTGACTGTTTGAAGAGCTGCCAAACTGTTTTCCATGACTAAACACCATTTTGTATTTCCACCACCAATGTGTAAGAGTTCTTATTTCTTTTAGCATTTTGATTCATTGGAATTAGTTTTTGGAATATGGTATGAGGTAGGGGATCTAAATTCATTCTTTTGCATGGCTCAAAAGTTTGGAATTAATATTTTTAAAAGATAGCTATCATTCTCCACAGTCTTGAGAAAGTATCACTCATGAAAATATAAAGTTACTTTTCTTACACTTAAAGAATTAAAGGTACAAATAAATGTAAGAGCTAAGACTATAAAACCCTTCAGTGCAATTCAGTTCAGTTGCTCAGTCGTGTCTGACTCTTTGCAACCCCATGAACCGCAGCACACCAGGCCTCCCTGTCCATCACAAACTCCCGGAGTTTACTCATACTCATGTCCATCAAGTCGGTGATGCCATCCAGCCATCTCATCCTCTCTTGTCCCCTTCTCCTCCTGCCCCCAATCCCTCCCAGCATCAGGATCTTTTCCAATGAGTCAACTCCGCATGAGGTGGCCAAAGTATTGGAGTTTCAGCTTCAGCATCAGTCCTTTCAATGACACCCAGGACTGATCTCCTTTAGGATGGACTGGTTGGATCTCCTTGCAGTCCAAGGGACTCTCAAGAGTCTTCTCCAACACCACAGTTCAAAAGCATCAATTTTTTGGTGCTCAGCTTTCTTCACAGTCCAACTGTCACATCCATACATGACCACTGGAAAAACCATAGCCTTGACTAGATGGACCTTTGTTGGCAAAGTAATATCTCTGCTTTTCAATAGGCTATCTAGGGTGGTCATAACTTTCCTTCCAGGGAGTAAGCGTCTTTTAATTTCATGGCTGCAGTCATCATCTGCAGTGATATTGGAACCCAAAAAAATAGTCTGACACTGTTTGCACTGTTTCCCCATCTATTTCCCATGAAGTGATGGGACCAGATGCCATGATCTTAGTTTTCTGAATTAATTTAAGCCAACTTTCTCACTCTCCTCTTTCACTTTCATCAAGAGGCTTTTTAGTTCCTCTTCACTTTTTGCCATAAGGGTAGTGTCATCTGCATATCTGAGGTTATTGATATTTCTCCCAGCAATCTTGATTCAAGCTTGTGCTTCTTAAAACTCTTAGAAAAAAGCATTTGGAAATGGATTCTTATACCTGATAGTAAAAGAAAAAAGCTACACAAGTTAAATTGGATGAATTGGATATATCAAAATAAAAAAAGATTTTATACAGCATAGGACATTGTCAAGAGACTGAAAAGACAGTGTACAGATTGGGAGAAAATACTGGCAAATCATGCACCAGATAAAGATCTAGGATCTAGTCTACATAAAGAATTCTTAGAGCTCAAAGCAATAAGTTACTCAATTTTAAAATAGGCAAAGAATGTGATTAGACATTTCTCCAGAGATATACAGCTGTCCAGTAAGCACATGAAAACATGCTCAGAAATAGGCAAATAATTTGATTAGACATTTCTCCAAAGATGTACAAATGGCCACTAAGCACATGAGAACATGGTCAACATCACTAGACATCAGGAAAATTGAAATCAAAACCGTAAGTATCTTTCAGGATACCTATAATAAAAGAAAGGCACAGTAGCAAGTGTTTACAGTGGAATGAAGATCTTGCAACACCCATACATGGCTAGTGAGAATGTTGGATGATGAAGCCACTTTGGAAAATAGTTTGACAGTTCTTCAAAAAGCATGGAATTGCCATGTGACTCAGGAATTCTACTCTTAGGTATACTCAGAAAAATCAATGTATATGTATATGTCCACAGAAAAACTTGTGCGTGAATATTCATAACAGCATTTACTTTTACTAGCCAAGAGAGGAAACAAGTCAGATGCCCATCAACAGTTAAACACAGTAACATTGTTTTGAAATTAGATTGTGGTGATGGCTGCACATACTACACATGGCGAACATACTCAGAAACCACTAAATGGTGCACTTTAAAGGAGTAAAGTTTAGAGTATGTAAAAAAACTAACAAACAATAAATGAATTTTTAAAATATCTCACAGAAATTTTTGTTTTAAAACAGTGCTCGTTTGCTTTTTTTTTTTTTAGAAATTTATCATGGCATCCTGCATTGACCACTAAAAATAAAATGCGAATTCCACATTCTCATGCTTTCATTGATCTGACTGAAGATTTCACAGCAGGTGAGTTGCACATAAATGTAAAATATTTCTTTTAGGATGCCAAAGAATGGTGAGATATTTGCTGTGTTCCTACTAAACATTTGCTGTTGAATTGAACATTGAAACCAAAATGTGAAAAGGTTACAAGGAAGTCAGTGATATCAGGAAAATGTAAAAAGTACTGGATGTAATAAAATATACCTTTAGTTATTTTTTGCTGTTTGTTAATCATTATCAAAATTTGAGTTATTGACTAATAAATGCTGTATATTTAATTATAAGAAAAATATTTAGTTTATGTATTAAAAATTGAAAAGATTGTTTTTAATTTTTATTATGAAAAATGTTAAATACAGAAAAGTAGGCAGAATAGTATGATATACACATGTTTAATCATCACCTAGCTTCAACAATAATCAATATGTGGATAATCTTGTTTCATTTGTATAATCACCCATGAGCCCCTCCCACCTAATTAATTCTATCACTTCAGCATTTTATCATTTCATTTATAAATATTTCAGTCTGTAGTCATCTCCAACTCTTTGCAACCACATGGGCTGTAGCCTACCAGGCTCCTCTGTCCATGGAATTGTCCAGGCAAGAATACTGGAGTGGGTAGCCATTCTCTTCTACAAGGGATCTGCTTAACACAGGGATCAAACCCAGATCTCCTGCATTACAGACAGATTCTTTCCTGTCTGAGCCACTAAGACAGGTTGTTAATTTTTAACAACCACAAGATTATTTTCTAACTTAACAAAAAATTGAACAAAATTATCTTAATTTTTGTTGTTCAGTCGCTAAATTCTAAGTCGCTATGCCTTGAGACTCCCTAGACTGCAGCAGGGCAGGCTCTTCTGTACTCCACTGTCTCCCAGAGTTTGCTCAGATTCATGTCCATTGAGTTGATGATGCCATTATGCCATTCAGCCATCTCATTCTCTATTACCCCCTCCTCTTCCTGCCCTTCATCTTTTCCAGCACCAGGGTCTTTTCCAGTGAATCACCTTTTTGCATCAGGTGGCCAAAGTATTGGAGCTTTAGCTTTAGCATCAGTCCTTCCAGAACCACAGTTCAAAAGCATCAATTCTTTAGCATTCAGCCTTCTTTATGGTCCAACTCTCGCATCTGTACAGGACTACTAGGAAAACCAGAGCTTTGACTATGTTTGTCGGCAAAGTAATATCTCTGCTTTTTAATATGCTGTCTAGGTTTGTCATATCTTTCTCTCCAAGGAGCAAGAGACTTTTAATTTCATGGTTTTAGTCACCATCTGCCCTGATTTTGGAGCCCAAGAAAAGAAAACCTGTCACTGCTTCCACTTTTCCCCCTTCTATTTGCCATGAAGTGGTGGGACTGGATGTGATGATCTTAGCTCTCCTTTTTCACCCTCATCAAGAGACTCTCATTCCTCTTTGATTTTTGCTATTAGAGTGATATCTGCATATCTGAGGTTGTTGATATTTCTCCTGGCAGTCTTGATTCCAGCTTGTGAGTCATCCAGCCTGACATTTCACATGATGCACTCTTCATAGAAAGAAGTTAAATAAGCAAGGTGACAGTGTACAGCCTTGTCATAATCCTTTCCCAGTGTTGTTCCATGTCTGGTTCTAACTCTTGCTTCTTGACCTGCACACAGGTTTCTCAGGAGAGTGGTAAGGAGGTCTGGAATTCCCATCTCTTTAAGAACTTCCCAGAGTTTGTTATAATCCACACAGTCAAAGGCTTTGGCATAGTCAATAAAACAGAAGTAAATGTTTTTCTGGAATTCTCTTGCTTTCTCCATGATCCAGCGAATGTTGGCAGTTTGACGTCTGGTTCCTTTGCCTTTTCAAAACCCAGCTTTTTATATCTGTATGTTCTCGGTTCATGTCCTGCTAAATCTTAGCTTGAAGGATTTTGAGCGTAACCTTGCTGGCATGTGAAATGAGTACAATTGTACAGTAGTTTAAACATTCTTTAGTATTGCTTTTCTTTGGGATTGGAATGAAACATGACTTTTTCCTTTGCAATGTTATAAACTTCCTTCCATAGTTGCTTAAGCACTCTTTCTGCCAGTTCTCATCTCTAGAATCTGTTTGTGACCACTGTATAATCATAACGGATTTGATTTAGTTCATACCTGAAAGGCCTAGTGGTTTTCCCTGCTTTCTTCAATTTAAACCTGAATTTTGCAATGAAGACTTCATGATCTGAGCCACAGTCAGCTCCAGGTCTTGTTTCTGCTGACTGTATATAGCTTCTCCATCTTTGGCTGCAAAGAATATAATCAGTCTGATTTCAGTATTATCCATCTGGTGATGTTTATTTGTAGAGTTGTCTCTTGGGTTGTTGGAGAAGAGTGTTTGCTATGACCAGTGTAGTCTCTTGGCCAAACTCTCTTAGCCTTTACCCTGCTTCATTTTGTACTCCCAAGGCCAAACTTGATTCTGTTAATATCAAATACTTATTCACTATTCAAAATGCCCTAATGTTCTCCTAAATGTTGTTTATCAGATTAGGTCAACAGGGTACATCAGTCAGTCAATTCAGTCGCTCAGTCGTGTCCTACTCTTTGCAACCCCATAGATTGCAGCGTGCCAGGCTTCCCTGTCCATCACCAACTCCCAGAGCCTACTCAAACTCATGTCCTTCGCTTCGGTGATGCCATCCAACCATCTCATCCTTTCTTGTCCCCTTCTCCTGTCTTCAATCTTTCCCACCAACAGCGTCTTTTCCAGAGAGTCATTTCTTCTCATCAGGTTCATACATAAATAGAAGAAACAGAATTTTTTCAGTTGGATTTTGCCAACTCTGTCCTCATGGTGTTAATATGTTAATATGATGATGTCATCTGTTATTTCCTGTAAGCCAGTGATTAGATTTAGAGTCTTGATCAGAATCAGTCTCTTTTTAGTTGAGAATACTTACCAGGTGTTGATTTTTGTTTCAGCTCATTAGGAAACACATGATTAGGTTCTCTCTTTTGTGTGATTAAGTCATCAGTACCTTCAGTTTTCTTCAGCATGGACCATTCATTATATTGTTCTCCTAATGGTTTGAGCAGCTATTGATGATCATTGTCAAGTCTTATTTTTTCAAAAGGAATTATAAAATTATAGCACCCTAAATATGTCACTCCTTAGCATATATTATTAGGATTTCCTATTAAAAAAATAAAGAACTTCTTTCATTATCTTTTTATTCACTCAAAGTACATTTCAGACAGGTAGGTTAAATGTATGAATTTTCTTGTGTCTCATTTTTTTTTCCAGTTTTTTCTTTTAATTTGGTAAAATACACATAACATAAAATTTACCATAGTGACCATTTTTAAGTATATGTTTCAATAATATTAAATACAGTCTTGGTATTTATGTACCATCCAACTCTTTTCATCTTGTAAAATTGAAACTTCATACCATTAATTAATAATTCCTCATTTATCTCTTTACCCCAGCCTGTGGTAACCACTGTTCTACTTTGTTTTTTGACTATTATAAGTACTGCAAATAAGTGAAATCATATAGTGTGTATTATTTTGTAACTGGCTTATTTCACTTAGCATGATATCCTTGAGATTTATCCATGTTGTAGCATATGTCAGAATTTTCTTCCTTTTTAAAGCTGAATTTTGTATAACCACATTTTGCTCAACTTCTGTATTTAACTATTGTAAATAATGCTGCTATGATTGTTGATGTACAAACATCACTTAGAGATCCTGCTGTCAGTTCTTTTCGGGTATGTATCCAGAAGTGGAATGGTTGGATCCTATGATAATTTTGTAAGGAATGACCATCACAGCAAGTTTATTGTTTTGCATTCTCACCAACAGTGTAGTTTCCAGTTTTTCCACATACTTGCCAATATTTGTTGTTTTCTGTATTTTTTTTTATACTTGGCATTCTAATAGGTTTAGTGTCGTATCACATTGTAGTGCGTTGTTTTTGGTTTTTGTTTGTTTCACCATCCCACATGGCTTGCAGGATTAGTTCCCTAACAGGAATTGAGAGGTTGAACCTGGCCGCAGCAGTGAAAGTGCCAAGTTCTAATCACTGGACTGCCAAGGAATTCCCTCATGGTAGTTTTGATTTGCATTTTTCCTAATGACTGGTGATGTTGAGCACCTTTTCATGTGCTTATTGGCTCTTTGCAGATCTCTTTTTGAGAAATGTGTATTTAAGTCCTCTGCCCATTTTGTAATTTTGTTGGCTCTTTGCTATTATTGAATTTCAGTTATTCTCTATTTAGAGTTTTACTTCCTCATCAGATTTGCAAATATTTTCTCTCATTCTGTGGGATACCTTTTTACTCCATTGATAGTGTCTTTGGATGCAAAAAAAAATTAATTTCCTGAAGTCCAGTTTTTCTGTTGTTTCTTTGTTGCCTGTGCCTTTAATGTCCTACCCAAGAAATTATTGCCAGTTTCACCATTATGAAGCTTTTACCCTATATTTTCTTTAAGAGTTTTACACTTTTATCTCTTACATTTAGAGCTTTCATCCATTTTGAGTTAATTTATGTATATGTTGTTAGATAAGGTTCCAGTTTCATTTTTTGGCATGGATACCCAGTTTTCCTTGTAACATTTATTCAAAAGACTTGTCATTCCCACATTGAAGAGTCTTAACCACTCTTGTCAAAATTCATTTTACCATATACTCAAGGGTTTGTTTTTGGGTTCTCTGTTATTTCACTGATCTGTATGGTCCCCTGTCTTTATGCTAGTACTGCACTGTTTTGATTACCAAAGCCTTGTGATATATTTAGTAATCAGAAAGTGTGAGTCTTCCAACTTCATTCTTTTTTCACATTGTTTTGACTCTTTGAGGTGGTCCCTTGAGATTCTACATGAATTTTAGGACAGGTTTGTTTTGTTTTTTTTTCATAGCTATGAGAAGTGCCATTGGAATTGTGATAAGGATCAATCTGAATCTATAGGTCACTTTGGGTAATATTGCTATCTTAACAACATTGTTTTTCAGTTCATGAAAATGCAGTGTGTTCCCATTCATTTGTCTTCTTAATGATTTAAC